GCAAGCAAAACAAGGCCATTGAAGTTCTATCTGAAGCAAGAATCAGAGTTAATTTTGAATTCTCTGCGTTGTGGTTCTCAGGGGAGACTATTCAGGGGGTGACATGGAAAGCCCCTGGGGTTTGCCTGGGGAGCTGCACTGAATCAGTCTCAGATCTGACAACACTATCCCTCCTTGCAGAGCAGATATAGTTTAAAGCATAGAAGTGTAGGCCTCTATAATCTATCAGATTAAATAATTCCATTGGCATTCATCACATAGCTATACAGGCAGCAGTCATGTGGTATATAGAAATTGAGAGTCTGAACTAGTACAGAGCTGACCACCTGCTCTAAAATGTCACAGATGTAATCCCAAGCTTTATTGCATCAGTAAAAACTGGGACAAATCCCACTGAAGACATTAAACCTTCGTGAGATTGGAATAAAGGTTTTATTAGTTGTATGTGTGACTTAAACACTTCCCACTATTCACATTGGTTTTTTTCTGTACATCCTAGATGTGAGTTAAACTGTTCGAGAGTAAATATTGCTAAAAAAATCCCACCCACTTTTACCTTCCTCTTTAGTCTTTCACTTTCTGTGAGCCAGGTCTAGGCTGCAGCATTGCCTTGATATTTCCTAAACTTGACGTGTGAAATGGCAGTATGGATCCTTCTCTTAGAGATCCCATGGAAGGAGGTGAAGGACCTGTCTGGGATCAGCCTCTGAGAGAATGGAATTGACACCCTCAAGTCTCCCTGGAATTTATAAAAAGCCCCTCTCCTCAATCCATCATGGTACTGCTGTGCTTTTGGTTTCCACTCACATGCAAATCCTCCCCTCAGCAAGATCTGCATCAGAAGACTTCACCACACAATCTTGTAGTGAACCACCACTACTGTAAGAGGAAGCCTAAAGAGAAAACAGATCATTAAATAACTCTACTAATGAGAATTTTCCTCTTTCTGTCAAAGTTCTCCTCTCCAGCTCCCTCGTATCACTCTGAGAAAACTACATGCAGCAGGCCTTTCTCAGAAAGCCGTATCTTCCATTTCTGTGGAAAAAAAGAAACCAAAACAAAACAAGAAAAAACCATGAGAGTTTGAGACAAAACTGTTCCCATGAGAACTCCCTTTTCCATAATTGCTGTTATCTGATTATTGTGGGAGAAGGGTTTTTTTTTCACCTTTCCCCCCCCTAGGACAAGTACCATGTCCCGATGCCAAGTCTCAGGAATCCAAGACGGCCAAGATTATTGACCCAGGGAATATGTGCCTCTGAGTCAGATCCTGAGGTCAGGAGGATCCTGACAACTGTGTTTTATGTATTTGAAGGATCTAATTTTCAAGGAAGCAGGGTAATAGTTATTGCCCCCCATCCCACTCTTTCTACCCTTCAGCTCTCCAGCTGATCAGATCCTACTCCCTCAAGACTTGACTGTCCTTGTGATATGGCACAGACACTGTGACTGCGGCAGCTGAGCTCTCACTCTCTGCCGAACAGAAACATTTCCTTCCTGATAGCTTTTACCTTAGGATATAAGTCCAGAGATCCTGCTCTGCCCTGTTCCTTGGCTCATCTATTGGGGTTATTCTGCGTGCTCTGCCAGCAGTGTGGAAATGAGCAAATTTCTGTTTTCTGAACTTAACGAGAATCACATTTAGTAGATTTGTGTAATAACGAAGATTAAAAAAAATGATCCTCCATATGACCAGTGGGCTGTGTCACACACAAATCTGACTAGGGCTATTTGTAATAACTTGACAAAAGCTGTCATTCGATATTTTAAAACATATTTAATCTCGGAGCCTGAGAAACCAATTCTGTCACTTTCACACATTTGGTTTCACTGTCTACTGTACAAATGTGGGACTTGAAACTTCTACATTGCCCAACAGCTTTAGAGCCATGTTTCTGCTTCATTATCCACAAAGACTGCACACCACAAACATCTATGAGCAGTAAGTTGAGGTGGTTATTGTACAAAATATGGTGTGTAAAACAAAACCAAGATTCGTATTAAAATTCCTTTCTCAGAAACTGAGAACATAAATAAGAATCAACAGAGGTTATTTACAGTGTTAGACAATATTTTACTGCATATTTCCATTTACAGGGTTTTTTTTCTTTTGTAAATTGCTGCTAAATATGTGTGTACTGGTCATACCAGACAGTTCAAAACTTTTTTTAAAACCTAAATCTCTGGAACTGGACAAAGTAATGAACAATTTTTATGACACTGATGTTAAAAAACCTTGGCTTGTGTTGTGTGGTAGATAATGCTTTCAATTTAGGCTCCCCCTTATGCATTCAATTTGGATTTAATACCTTCTGAGCCAAATTCTGCCCTCACTTAAGAGCCTCATCATCCCAAGTGCTGACAATGGGGACTGCAGAGGATAAGTGAGAGCAAGGCTTCATCATTTGTGCTCAGTGAGCGTGGTTAATTCCTCATCAACACAGCGAGATTAACCCCAATTAATAGAGGTTCATTTTCCTTTTGAATTACTGTTTCAGATGATCTAATGGTATTTATTTAACCCTTATTATAGCAGGAAAGAGCCTTTCATCTGATGTTACTGTTGAGCAGCTGAATTCTCCTTTGCTTTCCTAAATCTCTGCAAGAGGTTTGCCACCCAACAGTTTTGACTCCCTATTTTTTTCTGAGCTTACTTTCCTTTTTTCACCCCCTCCATGGATGTGAAATATTTTTGCTTAGAGGAAAGGAACATCCTACCTTCTTCCTTAGGAGCGTCTTCTGGACGCACTGATGTTTTCTGTTAAATGGTCTCAACATAATGTACAAATAATGAAGCTCGTCTGTCAATGATTCTCTCTCCTCCCTGTAACACAGCTAAAGAGTCACAACATGCTGTGTTTTAGAGAGGGTCAATTGATCTGCTGCAACCACAGCATCCTTTTACAGAAGATCTATCCAGATTCACATAAGGCATGTTCCTGGGCAGGCAAAAAATGTGAACTGAGAAACTGTCCTTTGTCCAAGATCACCCCTGGCAGTGTCCAAGGCCAGGTTGGATGGGGCTCTGAGCAACCTGGTCAAGTGGAAGGTGTCCCTGCCCATGGCAGGGGAGCTGGAACGAGGTGATCTTTGGGTCCCTTCCAACTCAAAGCATTCTATGATTCTGTGATCTACTGGGCATCTGAACCCTGGGGCATGCAGAAAGAAAGCTTTGATCACTGGCCCTTGATTGTGTAACTTGCAACTCAGAAATGAAAGGTGTATGAAGGCAGATGTGAAGATGGCCCAGGGCTGCCCCACTCTCTCTTTACTCCTTGCTGTTGTGTACACAGACATTTCTCGACCATGATTTAGAGTAGCCTGGTCATCGTTTCATCCAATTGTGTGGGTAAGAGCTCCAAAATAGGACCCTGTGATCAAAATGTCCGGAAACATGAGGTCATGACATCAAAAGGCCAGTTCCGTAGCGAAAGTATGGCTTTCAGGTGCCGCTGCCTTCAAAGGTCAGCACTAAAACAAAGGAGAAATCTATATTTGGGAACATTCATGCAAAGCACTACCGTTTGCTGTTTGCCAGAGGTACCAAGGCAATTAGAGATTACAAAAATAAACCAACAAAAAAACCCCAAAACAAACAAAAAAGCCCCAATCCAACCTAACAAACAAAACCAAACAAAATCCAAACCAACAACAACAACAATAAAAAAAAAAAAAAAAGGAAAAAAATTATCCAGCTCATGGAAGTAAGAAACAGAGGTTAGTTACATAATTAAACTAGGAATGTCATTACTGAGCTCTGCCATAACCTGCACAGAACTGCATGGACCTACAGTGGTAGCGAATGGCCAACTTTCCCGGGAAAGTTTTTTGTTATCCTTGTATTGCTTGGTTTTTTTACACCACATCTGTGCTTGCTTCGTCATTCTGCCATCTGCTGTAACAAAATACAGACAAAGCATTTCAGAGAACAACCTCTCCACACTTTAAAATGCTCCAAGCCAGAGAACAGCCTTTTATTTCTCACAAGCTGTAGTGCTTATCATCCTATCCTCCTCCTCCTCCTCTTCCTCCTCCCCCTGCCCCACATGCATGATGAATTACACACGCTTACCAAGCGTGGAGAACACAGAATCCCATTGATTTTGCCACAATGTTTCTATTAAAGGAAATGAATGTTTCTGCGCTTTTGCTTCGCTGAAAGGTCAGAAATAGCAGGTCATTATCATCAAATTTTTAATTTTGAAACTCCCAATCAGGCTCGTTTCCTGTTTGGTATTGTCTGCAGATACACAATGTACAGCAGAGAGAAGGACTCGGGTTGCTAAAGGATGGAAATAACAGAGTATGAGGAGAGTGGTTTTGAGCACACACTCTGTAAAGTCCAGTCAAAGTTTCTTCCTGGTGCAGCCGCGCAAATCTCTTGGTAGCAGTAAACTCACTGCACAGACTTCATTCCTGAACACATGTTCAAAGGTGATAAAATAAATGCAGATGGTTTCCCAAAACCTCAGTGGAGCATTTTTTGCTGTTACTAAATGGACTGTAAAAAAACTAGGGGGAAAAAAACCAGAGAAAATACAGTTTGACACAGACAGGCAATTTCAGAACAGCATTTGGTCATCTGGGAGAAAATCTAAATAAAATCTGTGTTTATAAGATCCATTGGCAAAACAATATTGACAGAATATCTGAGCTGCCTATTGGAAGTGATTTTTAGAATGGTTAAATTAAACAAGCTAGCGAGCTGAATATTTTGCTTATTTACTTAACACATCCAAACAAATAGTTGGATAGGAATTTTGAATTCATTGTGCCACGACCAAAGTTGACAATAAAACCATCCCCAGCTACAGTGAAAGCAGAATTAGACCTTAACAAATTTATTACAGGCTTTGTTTACAAACTCGTTACAAAATTATACAGCATCTTATGCGTACACAGGATTTACAGGAACACGTTACTGATGTGTGTGATTGCTCCACTCTCTGGTCAAGATCTGCAGGTTTTTCTTCACCTGAGGCCTGATCCAGCTTCCACTGGAGAAGGTGAGACTTTTTTTTCCATGGACTTTCGTGGAAACTGGATCAGATCCAGAGGGTAACACTTCCGTTCATTGTTTTCCTGGGGTGGGAAAGAGGCAGTTGACCTAAAAACCTTACACACCACACTTCTTTCTCATTTCATGTGTTTCAGATGACAGGAGTATTTACTCTGAGACATTTTTGCTGGCTGCCTGTGTTAGAGTTAAGAGTCAAAGACCAGTTCCTCTTACTGGATCTACAGTGGAAAATGACAATTGATTTTCTTTGAACTTTTAAAGAACGAATCTCCCTTGATTTTCACTGAGAAGAAACTAAGGTATTAGGATCAACTCTGATGTTGTTTACATTGCTATAAAGCTACATTTTCTCCACTGTCTTCAAGAGAGTTTCTCTGGATTTACAGTGACGTAAATAAAAGTGGCATCCTCACTGCAACAACAAGGTAGTTTGTGATTAATAGGATTTAACCAAACTAAGTTAGTCTTCTTACCTCCTCTTCTCGCATGGAGATAGACCCGTCTGGCATGGTGAAACAAGATTTCTAAACTTAATGATCCATGACAATATCAGCTCTCAATTACTCCCAGCATCTGCAAATGATCTTTATTTGGGAATTCAGGGTGCAAAATTAAGCTTTTAACCTGCAAAAAAAATCCAGCGGGGCAAGACTCTGAAAAATATGCTTTTACCCCCAAGCTAAAAAATTTTAGTTGAAATTTAAGCTTTCCTACTAGTAAAACTAGCAAAAGCTCTGTGGGGGATTTTGGTTTTTTAATGTTTGCCAGGGAATGAGAAAACTGGAAATATTCTAGTCAGATCTTTCAGATACTGAGTTCTCTGTTATATTACATCCTCTCATTTTAACGATTGCCTTGGTATGGAACCTCTGAAGTTCTTATTGCTTGAAGCAAAGTAAGGTACTGCAAGGTGATGACATTTCCTGGGAGGTAAATAGCCTGGCCTCACGTTGAGAATTGAGATGGTTCTCAGAAACCTTGCTTGTGGCCTCCCCTGCAGAAACACCACCTACACGCTCCAACCTGGCTTCCAGAGACACAACTATTCCAGTGCTAGGCCTCATGGGCAACCTGTCTGATTCTCCGGTGGTTTTATGGTGTGTAACGCTCTCTGTAAGGGATTAGGGGAGACCACACAATTTGCTGCCTGTCACGGCCTGCTGCAGGTTTGAAGTTGATTTTCCAGGAGTGAAAGCTGTACGAACAAAAGAATCCTGAAACCTCGGGTTTGAGTGCTCTGATCTCATTTTCACTTGTGATGCTGAACACGCAGTGAAAGCCAGAGTGGAAAACCTTCAGACACTACAGTTGTAAAACTGTTTGAGTGGCTGGTGTTTTCCAGCCCTGCCTGGGTGTTAGATCTATCTGGACACAGATAACATGCAGTCCAATCTTAATTCTGTTGATAACCATGGACTTTCCTTTATTTTATGGGAGTGGGATCCCATCCAGGGCATTACACAGCTAACGTGTAATAGACCTTCTCTTCAAGTAATGTCATTATTCCTGTCCCCAGTGGAGCTACATGACAATCCAAAGAAGAGTTTGAGGTATATATTTGCAAGTACATTTGCCTGTCCTAAGCAACAAATCTGTTTAATTGAGGAACTTCATTATCACTACATACTCTGTGGATTTTAGTCACCATCCATTTCAAGTTCCTGTGAAAGGTACCAGGTTTCTCCAGCAGTTCTAAACATTTTTTGCCCTGTGAAAAATGAAGAATGGATTGTTCAGAAGAATGGCTTTGTATGGGTGTGTGGCTTTGATATCCATGCCAGGATATTGTATCTTTCTTTTCTACAATTTCCAAGCCAAGGGCTCTTTTCAGGTTGAGACACCACTAGCTTTGTTTCTAATTTAAAAACTCTGACAGAGAGAAATGATCCAGCAATGCAAGCAGAAGATAATGATTCATGTGAGGAGAAGGAGGCTGATCACAATAAACCATCTTTCATGTATTATATTAATGATCCGTTTAGATTGGTCCTTGGCTTCAGTAAGTTTCAGTTACAAATATTTTATATTTTTTCATATTTTTTCAATGATGCACTGGCAGCATTAGAAACAGTTGCAAAACAAATGTGCTTCAGAAACATAAACGGAAGTTGCTGGATTATTAGCAGCCATCCTGAAATGCTAACAGAGGAAAAATGGTAATTTCACTGGCAAAACTGGCATAATACACAAACACTTTATTTTAGGGCTACCTGATGTCTGTAAATTTGACATCATCTGCAGGCTACAGCACGTACTTTGGTCCATGTTTGTTTTGGCGGTGAGGAGTCAACATTGCATCAATTAAATGTGAATGTATAGAGCAGGGAATATAAATATGTACACAACTCTTGGCATTGATCTGATTTTTAACAAGTTTACTAAATGACAGTCACTGGTTTGACAATACTGAATGAAAAATACTGATTTTACACAGATTTAACAGGAAGGTTACGGTATGCTGCCGACAAGCAGTGTCACAAACATAGTCTAAAAAAACCTGGAGTTGCCCACAGCAGAGGCACACACCCTTTGCTCTTGTTTATTGAGAGAGAAAGCTTATATACTGTAGATTTGCTGAAGTTTAATAAATAAGGTCAACTTATAATATATATAAAACAATATAAACATTTATATGCTACATGCATATCATATAATTTAAAGTAATAATTTATATAGGAAAGAGATGCAGATTTATGTTCTTCCTATTTTCCTCGACAACGCGCACACGCAGGAGGTGTCTATCCTTATCCATCTCCAGCCTACCAGTTTGTTGTTTTCTGAAGTCAGTGCTCTAACATAAGTTTGGGATGTCTTGCATTGGGAATTCCAGTGCTTGTCATCGATGCCACGGCAGCCGTTTTTCACGGGCTTGGCTTCTTTACACCTCGTTTCATAAAAGTATTGCTTAACTGGAGAGTTGCCCGTTTTAATTTCTCCCAGAACAGTTACCTGGTGTCCTCTGATGTCGATGGCAGAGGATTTGTCCGTGACCCACAAACTTTCACTGTCACAAACGGAATATTCCCCTCGGTGGCCCTTGTGCTCCGCGTACCTCTTCCGCCGGGAGGTTCTGTTCACCACGGAATTCCCAATATAATCCTCCATGAGGTACAGCGGCGGCGGCTCCAGCGGCGTGTTGTCACTCAAGAGGACTCGGGGAGAGTTGTAGCGTCTCTGCTGCCTCAAGAGATCTGTATCCACTGAGATAACTGGCTGGAAGTCTGATTTCACATTTTCCTCTCCGTCCATGTCTTGCTGAGTGTCTGCTTTCTGCACCGTGTTTTGATAGTTTTCCTTAATATCTACCATCTGCTTGGAAAGCTTGTTTTTTAAAATGTCTGCCTGGATAAGTTTGATAATAAGAGAATTTATCGAATCTTCTGGCAAACTCCTTTGATCCATGTTGGTAGACTGGATGCCACGAAGATAAGCGAGAAATATCACATAAAACAAGATGGACATCACCTTGTTCACCTGTAAGATCTGCAAAGAAACAGAAAGTCAACATAAAAACAATTAAAGGGGGAAGTTTTTTAGAGGCTGTAAACATGAAAATTGGGAATTTTTATTATAACATCTGCACTTTATAGATGCAGATATATACAGATACAGAAACACAAGCTATGTGTTTCTTTGAAGATATTATTTGTTACACTTTATAAAGAGTGTAACTCACTTCTGAGGATTTTTTTTTCATTCCCTTTCTCTCTATGGTGCTATAAGGGAAAATATTCTTGAAGGAAAATCGTGCAGACAAGCAGCAAAATGGAGCTTTTCGTATTTTGAACTTCAGAAAATACTAGCTAGGCCCCTGTAGTAAAAGTAGGGAATTCAGATGGATCCACAGGTCTTTTGGTAGTGATTTTTTGCAGAGTTGGAACCTGTTGTTTTATTTTGTTCAATTTGGGTTTTTTTGTTAAATGAAGTTGCTTCATTACATTTATATAAAGTGGAACAAAACTGACAGTAATTAGAAATATTCAAGAGCAGGTGGAGGACACCCCTCTCCCCACCCTCCTCAAAAAAAAAAAAAAAGAATTTAGTTCAAAGGTTGAAGATTTTGAAAACTGTGCATAAAAACCTGTTAATTCTTTGCCATCCACTGCTATATGTAGATTCCTGTGGGTGTCCTTTCAATTATAGCTTCAGACCATATTCTAGAAGCTCCTTTGTAATTTCTTTTTAAGCCTTTGTGGGTTTTTTTGTGTAGTTGAGAACCATGCACATCCATCTAAGGAGGTGTTTTTATTTCCTGTGGACACCTGTATATTTTGTATTAGCACCCATACTTAAAGGAAATCAATTTTCAATGTAAAAATACTGATGGAAGCAAACCATTCACTTCAGAGCACACCTCCTTTATAAACTTGTTGCATAAGCAGTGGATTGAAGAATGAAATTTCAAACTGAGAGCACCTTCATCTCATGTAATAGACTCTGGCTGTAGCACTGATTCAAGCGACTCAGAACAGTCTTGAATATGATACTCCTGCACTGCAAACACATCCACCACACATCTGATACCACCAACACTCTGGGATGAGGGCACAGAGTCACAGACCATGGAGCAGATGGAGCTGAAAGGATCCTCAGGACATCATCTAGTCCAATCCCACTGCTCAGAGTAGCATCAGCCAGAGCAGCTTGCACAGAGCTGTGCCTAGTCAGGTTTTGAATATCTCCATGGATAGAGACTCCACAAGCCCTCTAGGCAACCTGTTCCAGTGTTTGACCACCCTTGCACTTAAAAAAATTAATTGTCATGTTTCAGTGGTATTTCCTATATCTCATTTGTTCCCATTGCCTATTGTCCTTTCATGGGACACCTCTAAGAAGAGTTTTGCCCCATCTTTTTTACTGCCTGCCATCAGGTATTTCTGCACTTCCATAAGATCCCCCTGAGACTTCTCTTCTCCAGCATGAACAGCCCCAGGCATCTCAGCCTCTCCTCATATGGCAGTTGCCCTAATCCCTTAATCATTTTCATGGACTAACTCCTGTATATCCAGGTCTCTCCTGTACATCCATGTCTCTCTTGTACTGGTTGGTCAGAACTGGACACAGCACTGCAGATGTGGCCTCCCCAGTGCTGAGTTGAGGGGAAAGATCCCCTCCCTTGAGCTGCTGGTAACATTCTGAGTACTCTGTTTTTTTTCACTGGAGAAACTGTGGAAATATCAGACATCTTGAACAGAAAATTTTCTACTTTAAAAAAAAAAATTAAAAAAAATCATAATTTTCTGTTTAAAAGAGTGAACCATTTTCTGTATAAGAAGGCAAAGAAAAAAAAAGATGAAAAAAATTTTGCTGCACAACCCTCTATCCACAATAAGTAAAATTCCTTTTCGCAAGATTGAGTCCCCACTTCATAGTTTGGAACTGCAGCAAAATCAGAGCTACCCTCTGTGGATGTGTGAGCTGCCCTTTTATGGACAAGAAATGTGTTTTCTCCATTCTCAGTTTGTCACAGTATGAGTTCACCTAAATCTAGACTGTTGCTTGCAGCAATGTTTTGCTTTGGGGGGAAAAAAAATCTAAGATGTTCAGTTACCATACAATTACTGTCACACCTAAATAAATACTAACTTAATGTAGATGGATCTCAGAGCCCAGACTGTACTGTATGAAAAATTGCAGAGCAATTTAGTCTTCTCTCAGAAAATTATTTGCTTTTAAAACCAGTAAAAATATTATTAAACACATGTCATTCAGCAGATTTCTTGCAGCACTCAGGAGAGCAAACCCACATGCAGCATGACACACAAATCTATAGGATGGTGAGTAAAGCTCTGACAACGCTCTGCTCAAAGGCTGAGAGCATTATTCATGCCAACATGCAGCTGCATGCAATCACTGCTCTGCTTAGTCTCAAAACTAAGTGGCACTAGCAAAATACACAAGTTGGAGCAGGTGATGAGGTGGGAAAAGTAAGACTGGAGTTCCTGCAGACTCTCTTTAATGTCATACTGCACACAAAAAAGAAGGGCTGGGGATCTCGGAGTTGGAACAGTTCAAATAAGCTATTTTTCTTGTCCACAGAGGAACCCCATTAATGGGAAAAATGCCTAAAAGTATTTTGCTGAACTTCATGTGATATGTCTTGTGGATTTGGTGAGAAAGATGTTAACCTACTCTGAAGTTTGATGTGTAGTTTGATTTACAGTTGGCAAATTATTTGCTGCAAAAGTAAAAATATGCCAGAACAAACCTTTATCCTTTTTCTGGGTGCAAAATTTTGACAGGAAACACAAACATTTGGTAAGATTACAATTTTCAGGGAGTTCTTCTGAGACAATTCAACAAGAAGGTTCATCAGTGGTGTTCAGAAATTCTAGGACTAGAAACAGTCAGTCTGTCCATAAAGTCCAGCACCTCAGAACATAAGACACTGTTCTAGATGGGAGAAATGGACATTACTGGGAAACCACAGCTGTTTTATGGCCTTGGCTATAATATGGTCATGACACCTTAAAAGTATATCGATTTGTAGGTCTGGGGAGAATTGCTTTTGATAAATGACCCTTTGCCCAAAATGGAACATTGTGCCTGTCAGAACTGAAGATAATTTGAAATGATTTTTTTTTTTGCATATGTGTTGTTAAATCCATAAAAAGCAGAGAAAAATGTAAAACTTCAAAATGTTTATGTTTTCATATTTTCAAAGCAAATCATTCTGATGTTTCTGAATAAGCTTCAGATATACAGGGGAATTCACAAAGCAGAGCAAGTGCTTACTCAGAGTAGCCCAGTAAGTTATCTATGGAGGAGACTTGGATTAAAGGTAAGATTTCAACACAGGTATCCTGTCTAAGAGAAGACTGACTTAACTTCCAGGCTCCTGGGGCGTGGACTTATAAGGATCTCAGGAGAAGTTCTTTCTTTGGCCTTTTGAAGAATGGTATAAAAATCTCCCAAGTATTTAGCCCTTCACGTGACTTCTTCTGTTCTTTCGTTAATTTTTTCTTAAATTCAAATGATTCATTTCAGGTAGAAAGACAGATTTTGTTCAAGCCAAAGTTTTCTTAGGCAGCTGATATCAGTGAGATATTTTCGTTGTTCTACAAGGTTCTTCTTGAAATTTTCCACATGTAAATTCCTAACAAAAGTTCATTTTGGCTGTCCATGTGGGCTGTTGGTAGTCAAGTAAATGTGCTGAATGGCCCTAGAAATGGACAGAATACTTCTTTACACTCCTACAGGTAGTACAGATTAGATTACACTTAGGATCTGAGTTTGGGTCCCAAAGCCATTCCACTGGGAAGTCATTCCCACTTGTCCTGTCGCTAAAATTCCTGATGAAGAGCCCCTCTCTGGCTTCCTTGTAGGTCCCTTCAGACACAGGAAGGTTGCTATGAGGTCTCCATGCACCAATCTTCTCTTCTCCATGCTGAACAACTCCAATATTCCAGAAAACTGTTTTTCCTGAGCTGCTGAGAAGCTACGCACCAGTTCTGCTGTCGTGCTCTGCTATTCTTTGTGCCCTTCAAGATGTTGGGTCACACCTTTGGTGCTTTGAGCTCTGGCTAGAAGTAATTAAAAAGAGGGTGAGAAGCATATCGCTCTCATATCAGCCCTTGAGTGTGCTTGGAAAACACTCTGCTATGTGCAGTTTGGAAAAGCACTGGACATAAAGGTAGGAGGATTCTTAGAGTTTGTCCCTTTGCAGAGCTCTTCTTTCAGAAATACATTGGCTTTCTAAAGTGATTACAGACTTGGCAACAGAAACAAAGAAGATCCTGAAGGTAACAAGGACTATAACTAAGTGACATTAAGCATCATGAATGGTCCAAAGGATTTGTGGGAGAATATATCACAGCATGGCTGGAAAAACAGCATATCCTTGTAGTAGACTGCTAATTTGCACTAAACAAGTTTGAGTCAAACATTGCTGACATTGTGGTACAGCAGGTAAAAGCAAACAGCACAGAAAAGGAAAGCTCATGCATTGCAAAGCTGTTTGGTCTTCTAGTTGTGGCTTAGTTTTACTTTATTTTAATCGTTTATATTCCTGCCTATCACTGCAGTGTCAGTGGGGTACTAATGTTGTCTGGTGGTCCGAGGAAGGTCTAAATTTAGGAGAAGTAAATAAGGTTACCTCTTCCCTCCATCAGTAACTTAAATCCTCAATAACCTCTGACAAATCACTTTCTGCTCTTTTCAGACTCAACACTCTATGTAGTAGAGGAAAGCTTGGCTTCATTTTGAAAAAAAAATAAATGGATTACTTTATTTTGATCAGTCTCTGAACAGTCTACACAGCTGAGGAGCAAAGCATCATCTAAAATATTCTGTGAAAAGAATGAAATCCTAGTACTGTGAAAATTCCCTAAGTATTTACTTGTAAGTCATTGCTAAGAGGAACTGGAATAGAAGGAAAAGTAACTGGTGAATTTTACATTCAGCATTGGAATCACAGAATCACAGCATATGCTGAGTTGGAAGGGACCCACAAGAATCATTGAGTCTGACTCAACTCTGCACAG